TTTTTTTTTTTTTTTTTTTTTTTTTTTTTTGGGGGGGGGGGGGGGGGGGGGGGGGGGCAAGTGCCACCCATAAAAAAAATTCATTTGTCTTCTCTCTCTTGCTGAAGATATTGTGGGGGTTCATATTGTCGTTTTTCTCTTAGTTCGGGCTTCCTCTCATCCTTTCCAGTGGTAAGTTTATTGCAATTTTTATTTTTCACCATATACAATTATATTTGGACATTCTTACAGGCACAACACTTTCTTTAACCTCCAACGACTGCATAACCATTGGAAAGGGAATTTGAGTGATATTTCATTATTGTTACAGTTAGATAGCTGATGTGAGCCCACGTAACAATATGAACTTCAGAACCCACAAAAAAGTATTGAAATGAACCCCAAGAAAGCAAAAATTAGGATTTGAATTGAATCAAAGAATCTAAGTTATTGATGAACCTTGACCCCGTAATTCAAAAATAATCACGAACCTTGCTATAAGTGTTGAATGCCACAAAGAGTAAAAATCTTTGACAAAATTTCAATTACGAAAAAGTATAAAGCAATTCTCGCTCTATTAATTTCATTAAAATAATGATTTTTTTCCTACAATAAATAAAGCGAATATATAGGCAATAACAAAGAAACTCTAAATAATTAGTAAAACATTAAGAAAACATTAAACAAATAGAATTCTAAACAAAAAAAGGAAAAATTAAATCGTCTTCTAATGTTTGTAATGCGCGTTCGCACCGTTCAATTGATTTGGCTACAAGTTGAAATTTTGCTAACTTAGTTTGGCTACAAGTTGAAATTTTGCTAACTTAGCTTGAATTAGGTGCACTAAGCTTGGTTATTCTTTCATGCACAAATTTTGTGTATTGCTCTTTGCACTTGAACACTTGGCCCACGTAGCTTGGACAATACCTTGTATGGTTTCTTTGATCCTCTTTGCTCTTGATTTTGTCATTGGTCCATCTTCAATAGGCAATGGATTCTTGCTAGTTTGCCTTTCATGATTTTCATCATTTCCTCCATCTTCAAAAGGATTCGATCTCGAATCTTCACCTGCATCTAAGATAGAAAGATTTGCAACATTGAAAGTAGCAGTTACATTATACTCATTTGGAAGATTCAATTTGTAGGTATTGTCGATAATCTTTTTTAAGGACTTGGAATTGTCCATCTCCTCTACGATGCAATACAAACATTTTTTGAGTTGGAAAATGTTCTTTTCGCGTGTGTACCCAAACCTAATCACTTTGTTCAAATGTTATGTATTTCCTTCCTTTATTAGCTCAGGATACACAATGTTCACTCTTCTTCTCAATTTGAAGTCAAACCTTCTCATGAATTGACCTTATCAATTCAGAATTCTTCTTATCTAAACTCCACCTTTCATCAATAGTTAAAGGAATTAAATCTAATGGAGTTAGTAGATTGAAAACATACATAAATTCTAAAGGTGAATAAGAAGTAGTGGAATGTATGTCTCTATTATATGCAAATTCTATAATTGGTAAACAATCCTCCCAACTTTTTGAATTCTTATTGATTATAGTGTGGAATAGTTGAGTTAATGTTCTATTAACTATCTCAGTTTGTCCATCTGTTTGTTGACAAATGGTGTAAAAAACAATAGTTTGGTTCCAAACTTACCCTATAAAACCTTCCAAAAGTTCCTAAGGAATTAACATCTCTACTAGACACAATACTCCTAGGTATCCCATGGAGTTAAAAAACAAGTTAGCTATGTTTGTGGCATTATCTGTTTTATGACATGGAATGAAGTGTGCTATCTTACTTAACCTATTCATTACCACAAATATGGAATCTCTACTGCTTTTAGTCCTAGGCAGCCCTAGCACAAAGTCCATAGACACGTCAACCTAAGTTTCACTAGGAACGGATAGAGATGTATATAAACCTTGTGGTAAAACCTTAGACTTAGTCTTTTTACGTACAATGCATCTACTATAAATGTGATTAACGTATTTTTCATCCTAGACCAATGAAAATGCTCATGCAACATCGTTAAGATTTTCTTAATACCAAAGTATTCCATTGAACGCCCACTATATGTTTCACGTACTAACAATTCAAAGTATAGAACAATTAGGCACATATAACTTATTTTCCTTAAACAAATATCCATCATACTTATAAAATTTATTAATTGCAGCCTTATACATCTCAGTCATGCTTTTAGGTGTTGGCACTCCTTAATGACTTTTACTTTTTCTTTATCTACTTCAATGCCCTTTGTATTAATAACATAACCAAGAAAAATCACTTTCTCCATACAAAATGTACAATTATTAAAATTAGCATAAATTCATTCTTGCCTAAAAACAACATACAAACATCTCAAATGTTCATCTAAACTCTTACTATGTATTAGGATGTCATCAAAATAAACTACTACAAATTTGGCTATAATGTACGAAAACACATGGCTCATTAATCTCATGAAGGTACTAGGTGCATTAGTATGTCCAAATGACATAACTAACCGCTCATATAACCCATATATAGTTTCAAAAGCATTTTTTCACTCATTTTTTTCATTCATTCTACTTTGGTTATATCCACGTTTAAGATCTATTTTACTAAAAATACATAAACCTTACAATTCATCAAACATATCATCTAACCTAGGTATGAGATAATGATACTTTACCATTATATTGTTGATCGCCTTGCAATCAATGCACATTCTCTATGTCCCATTTTTTTTTTTTTTTAGGTACAAGTAACACTGATATAGCATATGGACTCATGCTTTCTCTCATACACCCTTTTTCTTATCAACTTTTTCACCTGCCTTTGAAGTTCCTTTGTCTCCTTGAGATACTTCTATAAGTTGGTCAGTTGGGAATAATAGCAGGTATAAAGTCAATTTGATGTTCAATACCTCGAATGGGTGCTAATCTACTAGGCATGCCCCTAGGGAACAAGTTTTCAAATTCCTGCAACAAAGAAATAGCCAAATTAAGGGGGAGTTGGTTAGATTCATCAAAATTAAGGAATGATTTCTTTTAAAACAACAATATTAAATGTTGGTTTTCCACTAAAGCCCTCTTTATTTCACTCTCTTTTGCAAAATGCTCACTTTTAATTTTTTATTTTCTCTCTAAATACTCTCTTTCTTTTCTCTCTTATAGCTCCACTATTTTTTCATTATTTTCAGCCGCTTCACTATTTTTTACCTCTTTCCTTTTCTTCTCCTCCACACCTCTTAATTTCAATTTATCCTCATAGACTTGTTTTAGTGTAAACAAGAGTATTTTATCTTTCACAAAGCTGTAACTATTTTTACCCATCACGTATCACCTTCCTATCATACTACCATGGCCTTTCTAACAAGATATGCCTTGATTGCATAGGAACCATGTTACACATCACCTTCATCACTATGCTTCTGAATAGTAAAGCTCACTAAGACTTGCTTATTAACTTTGACCTCTTCACATTCATTCAACCACTTCAATCTATATGGTCTAGGACATTTTAACATAGATAAGCCCAATTTCTCTACAAGGGTAGTGCTAGCTGCATTGGTACAACTTCCCTTATCTATAATTATACTACATTGTTGTTGACATAACACTATTCGTACAAACCCGCAAGTGTACAAGCTCATTGTACAAGTAATAGAAGTTTTGAGTTTATTGTTCGCAAGAGGGATAAGGTCTAACGTTTAGTTCTATCGTTTTTAGTAAATTCGAGTGTGCGTGATATCTAGAGAGTGAATCGTTTGGTTTTCTATACTACTTTTAATCTAGTAAAGTAATAAAAGTGATGTTTTCAATTGTGATATGCTTGTATTGGAATCCCAAATCTCCCTATTGCAATTTATTTCAACTCTTAGTTCGTAATATAGTTAAGTTCATGCATTTTGATAATCAATAACACTAAATTATTCATTGCTATTTTCCAAGACATACAGACTTATGATTAACACTATCCGATCCTATTCCTAGTCTAAATTCATATGAAAAACATGCATTTAGTTTAAATTATCTAAGTGATTGCATGTGTCAAAGAGATTACTTTTAATTCTAACTACACATATTAGTTTTGTTACATTCTAAAATTATTGTGAGTTTTCCTACACTACAATAAGAAACTTATTATCTAATTGGTAGCTAAGAGATCAAATAATTATGATGGGAATGCAAAACTAATCAAGAAAATCAAGAAATACTATCAAAATAAATGTGCAAAAGGCTTCATTAATCATCCAATAAAATGAAGAAATCTACAATAGCATCCTATCAATTGAATTATACCTGAAAGAAGTAAATAATATCACCCGAAAAGAAGAATTATGGAAGAAAGTGTTGATCTAAATCTTGAAAAAAGATCAACATTCTTTTAATAATATGCCTTTGAATTGATGATTGGCCTTGATCTTGGCCTCCAAAATATGTAAAATATGTGATTTTCAGGTCTAAGAAAGGTTGGGGACATTCTGGCCAAGTTCTCGAATACAAAAAAGA